CAAGGAACATTTCCAAAGCCATGCTCACCGGGTGGAATGACCCCAGCACTTTAAACAACATTTCAGAAAGAAGAGCACAGTTGATACTTATCAACTAACATTGCCACTAATGTCCAGTACTCGTAGATCTCAGGGGGGGGATGAACAGTTTTCAGAAGACAGGCAGTTCCTTGTAAAACCACTGAATGTCAAGGCAGAAAAAGAAATTTTCAGTATGTAGAACGAACACACACACACACACACACACACACACCTCAAAACCAAACACAAAAAAAAAAGAAAAAAAGGATCAAAAGCTCAGATTTCTTTCCACACTAACAATACCAGAAAACTATGTAAGCCATGCATATAATGTTGTGTGGGGAGAGCATGTACAAATAGTTTTATATTTACCCAAATTGTTCAAGAACAAAAACAACAGACACCTTCAGGCATGCAAAAGCTCAGTGACTCCATTGGTCCTTCCTAAAGAACCATGTAAGTCTAAGATCTAGCAAACCAAGATATTAAAGTGGAGTTCTAGTAGAAAGCCTGACAGAAAGAACTAAACCTTTTTATATTTACAAATAAAGCCAATCACCAGTGTGAAGTATGTTTATAAAAGGGAAATGTTATACATTTCAACAATAAAAAAAAATAACATACCAAATCCAACAATTTGAGGCAAAATAGAAGGGAAAATAAGGATGAAATTTTCTCACTTTTCTAGACTTGTTAAAGATAAGAAATTAAGAAAGTGAGATTTGGGGCTGAGGCTATGGCTCAGTGGTAGAGCCCTTGTCTAGCATTTGTGAGGCACTGGGTTCAATTCTCAGCACCACATATAAGTTAAGTAAATAAAATAAAGGTCTGTACATCTTTAAAAAAAAACATTAAAAAAAGAAATTGAGATTTAATTATTATCTTACTTGAAATTATTAAGTTAGCAAAGCAAAATGATGGTATTAAAAAAATATATGTGTCAATCTTCTTTTCCATCTCAGTAAGTAGTCAATAGATAATTAATAAATAGAAGTTAAAGCCACTATATAGAAATCTCTAAAAGACTTAAAAATAGATTATAAATCTTTGATATTATTACAAAAAAAATCATGCTTACCCCTGGAAGCATACAGACATAACCAAAGAAAAGATAACCCATAGGGCAGGAGATGGCGGGGGCTGGGAGGAGGAAAGGGAGAAAGCATTAAAACCAGAAAATACAAATTAAAATCATTAAGATTGAAAATATATATATTATATTAATAAATATAGGATTCTTTAAAAAGGCCAAAATATAAAAGAAAAACTAATCTTTAGATTCCAAAGCTAAAACCAACTGTCCAAGGGCCAGAGTTGTGCCTCAGTGGTAGAGCACTTGCCTAGCATGTGTGAGGCACTGGGTTCAATTCTCAGCACTGCAAATAAGTAAATAAAATAAAGGTTCATCAACAACTAATAAAAATATTTTTAAAAACTGTCCAAGAGTCTCCTTATGACTCAGAAAAATTAAAAATATATGTATGTATATATGTATATGTGGATAGTTGGATAGATAGATGATACACATCAAATAAATGGTAACAAAACATAAAGAATCATAATATCTGAAAAGAGTAAAATCAAATCAAAAACTATCAACAACAACAACAAAAAAGAGTTATTTTATATTCAACAATAATAGCAATTACCAGGCCCCAAGTACTATTCTACACAGTTAGAATGATCTGAGTTTACATCAAAAATGAGTTTATAAGTATTATAAATCTTTCAGCACCCAAAACTGTCAAAATCCATAAAAATATAAAATTCTAGAAGAAGTCAACAAAACATAATAATACTAACAGGCATTGTTAGCCAGCACAGAACAAGATGACAAAGTATTAAGAAATATAATATAATCACTAAACCCAGTAAATGTGTATCAAAGTGCTTATCTAACATAAAACATATTTTCAAGCACTGGTGGGATATTTTAATTTAAAAAATAAAGAATACATTAGGCGGGCTGGGGATGTAGCTCAAGCGGTAGCGTGCTCACCTGGCATGCGCAGGGCGCTGGGTTCCACCCTCAGCACCACATAAAAATAAAACAAAGATGTTGTGTCCACCGAAAACTAAAAAATAAATATTAAAAAATTCTCTCTCTCTCTCTTTAAAAAAAAAAGAGAGAATACATTAGTCCACAAAATAAAGCCTCAAAACATCCAGGAAGATGGAATTAGAATGATCTTCCCTGACCACACTATAATAAAAATAAACATTAACGGGAAGAAACCTAGCCACCTAAAAACCTTTTAACTCTCAGATCTTGATGCAAAAGAAAAAGTAAAAGCTGAAATTATAAAGTATCTATATTTTTTAAATGACAATAATAAACATACTAACACCCTCACAAAAAATTTTGTGAAGCTGGACTCAAGACAAAATCATACCATTAAACATTTTATCCAGCAAATAATAATAGAAATAAAATCAATAAACATTCTATTCAATCGTTTGACAAAATGATATTAAAGTTCATTTGGAAAATTCAATACATGAAGACATGAAAAATTTGGAAAAAAGTTGGGGATCAGGTAGCATAATCTGAGCAGATATCAAGACATACTATACTGCAACAATGATCAAAGCATTATGCTACAGATATAGATACGACACAGAATACAATTTAAAGGAATACTCCAATACATCAGGGAGAAGGTTTATGATGAGGATCACATTTTGAATCAATGGGCAAAAAAATGAACTAAATAATAACCATTCACTAAATAGTGCTGACTTCACTTGCTTCCAACTATTTAGAAAGTAGTTAGGCCAGAACACTACCTGACTCCTTTCACCCAAATAGATTAGAATGGATCAAACAATATATATTTTAAATAAATGAGTAAGTATATTATAATCTTGGCATAGCCAAAAGATCTTTCCAAGCAGAATATAAAACTCAAAGGCCATAAGTAAAAAATGTGTAAGTACTAAAACTTTGTGAAAAATAAAGTGAGAAAAAATATTTGCATCAGAAGTTAATTTTCTTATTTTATCAAAAATACATACAATAAGAACAACTTAATAGAATAAGAAATTGAAATGTAAAATAGAAAAGATGCTAAATCTTACTCAGAAATTTTAAAGTGCAAATGAAAATATTGAGATAACCATTTATCTCGTAGCAGACTGACAAGATTTTTTAAGTTGATAATAATCAGTATTGGGAAGAATCTGGAGAAATAAGCACAGTAGAACAACATAAATGAGACTGTAAATTGGCATCATCTTTCCTTGAGGATTAACTGGTCAAAATCTGTCAAATGCCCATATCCTTGGTCTCTGCAATTCCACAATTCTATGGTTGTTTACCCTATGCACACAACCAAAAAAAAGCATACTAGATTCAACATATAAACAGACTGTAAAACACCAAAACAAAACATTTGATCATCTCAATAAATGCAACAAGAAGCACTTGGAAAAACTTTAATGTTCATTCAGCATTGTTAAAAAAAAAAAAATACTCTCAATCTACTAGAAAAATACTCTCAATCTACTAGAAGGGATTTCTTTAACCTAACACAAGCATCCAGGAAAAGCCTAGAGTTAACACCACACTTAATGGTGAAAAACTGAATGATTCACTTTAAGATTAGGGAAAAAGCGAGGATGCCTGCTCTCATGGTTTTATTCAGTATTGTAGGGAGCCAGTGCAATCAAACAAGAAAAGGAAATTAAAAGCATCCAGAGTGAAGAGGAAAAATTAAAATGGACTTTATTTGCAGTTGACATGATCGTATGTCTTAAAAATCTGATGCAATGTATTTGAAAAACTACTAGAACTATTTAATGAGTTCATCATGAGTAGAGGATACAAAGTTAAAATTTAAAAATCAAGTATATTTGTATATCTTACAAAGGAAACTTTTCATCAATGCTGAAGCTTGTATAGAAATATGAGAATATGTCCTTATGCCACATATAAAAAATATGTCCTTGTGCCACAGATAAAATATATATACACATATGTGTGTATGTGTAAGAACTAAAACTTTGAACTTCTAGGAAATAGATATACAAGGATATTTATTATAACATTCTTTCCAATAGAAAACTGGATACAACTTAAATTATCCAACAAGTTATAATAATTACATAAAAGGAAATACTATCTAGCCACACGTAACCACTAAATGGAAAGAAGGAAAATGTTGTGTCAGTCTGGAAGGAATGCAAACTCAGCAAAACCTTGTCTCTAAATAAAACATAAAAGGGGCTGGGGATGTGGCTCAGTGGTTTTAATTCCCAGTACCAAAAAACAACAAAACAAAATTTGCATTCATAGCCATTTGTGTGTGTGTGTGTGTGTGTGTATTTGCAGAAAGCTACATGGAAGCTCTGTTATTTTGTTTTGGTCTTTTTGGTGCTGAGGATCAAACCCAGGGCCTCATGCATTCTAAGCACATGCTCTACCACTGAACTACATCCCAAGCTCCCACAGAAATTCTTAAACTTTAGAGAGAGTTACCAGGAGTCAGAGACATTGGAAACAGGAAAAATAAAACAATTGTTAAAATTTGTGTACTTTTCTGTACTGGTCATATTTTTGATGATGTGCCATTATTCTACTTTAAAAGATAAATCGTTTTTTCTTTCGTGTGAGTAAGAGACTTCTATGGAGGAGATTATTTTGGCCAGATGCCTGCAGAAGTTAAGTCGTGGAAGAGCAGAAAACACATGAAACAGTAGAAGCCCATCCTGAGAAGAAACAGCAAGAAACAGAAAGGAGCAAGACAGAGGACTGGTGAGCAGACCAACAATCAGTTCTCTTTTTTGCCCTCTGAGGTCTGCTGAGCTTTCTTGTCAGTCCTTGGATCCCACATGATTTCCTACTGTGCTCTTCTCAGAAGCCCCCTTATCACAAGCTGATTTGAGTTTCTCACAAGCCTGTATCAGTTCCTTCACAACTCCAAATGGGCCCAGCCTTGTTAAATACCCTAAATTAGTCCTTAATGGAGGAACAGCCTTACCTTGCTGAAAGTGAAGCAACCTGTAGCCTGCACTCTGAGAGCTCCTGTAGTCAGTCAAGCCTGTCGAGTGTGATTTAAATAGAAACTTGTCCAGCAACATTTTATACTCAGGAAAAATTCATGACCAAGACTTCTATTTCTGGGGATGCTTTTTGAGAATGTTTCTTTTAGATAATATAGTATGAATCGTGTGTGTGTGTGTGTGTGTATACATATGTGTGTATGTGTGTGTATATATGTAAACAAATCATTGAAGAATGCTTCCAAATCTAGAGAACAGCTTTTAGAAAGAAGTCGTAAAACCAAGCATAGGAAAATTGTACAAATGTTAAATACAAAAACTAAAAAATATCCAAAGATATACAAAATAAGAAAACAACCACATGACTATGAAAAAGTGGAGAATAATTCCAAACCAACATATAATCAAGTGATGGTAAAGACTGGTCAGAGTAGGAACCGTCTTCTTCACAAACAAGCTGTCTGCATGCTAGACAGGGCCCAGATAAGAGTATGGCTCAGATGTCAGCTCTCCTAGGAGCCTTTCCCAGTGTTCCCATTGGAAATGACCTTTCCTTTATGCTCCCACTTAACAGGTCCTCTTTCCTAGCAGCGAGCACCTTGCCTGACATTCCGTTGTTCACATGTTGGTCTTTTCCACCACTGAGTTCCCTGAGGACAGAGGCCATGGCTTAGTAAATTTTTTCTTTCTCATAGGCAAAATCCATTCTATAAGTGCTCAATAAATGTCCAGTATAGCAATAAAACCCAGAACTTTAAAAACCATGACAGTTTTCTAGTGAAAAAAAAAAAAAGTTGTGATTTCATAGAATATTAAGAAAATAAAGAGAAATAAGAAAATTATTACAACACATAAAATCTCACCATCCAAATGTAATCACTAATGATAAACATCTCCATTTAGACACACATGTGTGCACGCGTATACAGTCATATATAGCTATGTTTGTTTGTTTCACAAGGCAGAAGATCTGATTTCCAGCCCAATCGCTACTAAATTGATGTTTTGAAGGTTTGTATCCATCACAAACATAGTGCACATACTCAAGCCTTGTCATCACCCCTACAGCATTAGCCATTGTTCGCTATCTCCATCTTTCCAGAACATTCCTTTACCTTTGTCTCCTTTACATCTTCCTTTCTTAGTTCCTCTTCTGCCTCCCCTGTGCCAACTCCCATTCTCCCCATGAATGTGGACACTCAATCAAAGCCCTGCCTTTAGTCCTCCACTTGTCTTCCAAATGAGCCAATTGTACCTAAGACTTTCACCATCATGTCTTAACAGGTGACTTCCTCTCTCTAGCACTATTTCCTCTCCGAAGTTCCTGCCCAAAATAATAATAATCCTCCCTTATCTATAGTTTTTTTTCTATTCAGTTGCAATTACCCTTGGTGAATTACAGTCCAAAAATATTAAATGGAAAATTCCAGAAATAAATAATAAGTTTTAAACTATTCACCACTCTGAGTAGCATAATAAAATCTCATGTCATCTTGCTCCATCTCACTTGGGACATCAATCATCTCTCTGTCCAGTGTATCCACACTGTATACACTATCCATCCATAGCAGTAGCTATCAGATGGACAGTCAGTATTGCAGTGTTTATATCAAGTAACCTTATATAGTAGCCTTGTGCTAGGTCACATGCCTATGTCATTCACCTCACTTCACGCCCAAAAAGACACAACTCAAATACAAGTCATTGCTCTGCAAGATAGAAAGTAAGAAATGTCCCATAAGGAGGGTAGCAAGGCATTTACTGAGAGTTTGCCGTGAACCAAAAGTAGGGTCTTAGAAGCTTAGAAGTTTTTTTCTATTAGGAAAAGTCTGGAATGATTATTCCATCAACCCATAGAATAAATGGAGAAAATAGTATTAGAGAAGATATTCTTATTTTTTATATTTTTCTGAAACTCTTACACTTGACAGGAGTGTAGAAGGATGAGCTAAAAATACATTCCATATCCAAGCACCTGTCACCATGGCCACCCAGGACCGCCATAAGCTCTCAAGGAACCATTTGGGCAAATTAGAAAAAGGTATCTCTACTGCAAGGGGACTTGGCTCCACGAAAGGTACACAGCTTGGCAAGCAGAGCCCCAGCGAGACTCAGGACCACTCACTAATCAGGAAGCTGACTGGGGATTATGGTAGTTATAAGGCTTGAACTAAGGCAGAAGTCCTCAGATGGTATTGCAGAGAAAAAATTATTAGCATTGAAATCTATTGATTCGGTTCAAAACAGAATTTCAAAATCAAAAGAAAATGCAGAACCAAAAATCAATGGCAAAATGTTGAGACCGGATGACTGTCTGAAATGGGGGGCACAGAGGAGGCACAACTTTGGGGAGACTCAATTTGGGACCTGCTGAGTTGGAGTTTCCAGTGGAAAACAGGAGATGCTATCAGAAAGCAGAACTGGAACTTGGAAGGGAGAAGGTGCCTGGAGGACCAGCTAAGAATACTGCAGAGAGGACACAGCCACCCATGCCCCTGAGGGGCTCTCGAGGGGCTGGCAAGGATAGAACCTTGCAAGGCCTTTACATCCAGAGAGGATGAGGAATGTGGAAGAGGAGCCAGAGGAGGGGCTGACAGTGACGTAGGGAGAGAACAGACAGGATGAGGACAGGGAGCTTCAAGTAGACAGGGAGCAGACACTGGGACTTGATGCTCCTGAGCAGGTAAGGAGGAGGAGGGGTTAGGAAAAGTCTGGAATTTTGTCTTCAAAAGAAGTGCGTAAAAGAAGAGCAGCCAGATCCCCAGGAGTCTCCAGGGAAGTGGGTGGAGACCAGGCTGACCCCAGCACATGTTGCTCAGCCTGGGGTGCAGCCCTGAGCTGCAGGGCCTCCTGGGCTCACAGAGTTGGCAGGGAAAGATAAATGGGTATGGTCTGAACATTTTTTTTTAAGACTTAACAGAAAAATCAGAGAGAAGTCATAGTTTTCATGGGCTGGTAATAAAACCGTTTGTCACGTTGGCCTCTAACTTTTGCAAAACAGCTTCTATAAATTAAAAAGTCTAATTTAGCTACCTAAAAATAGATTTCATTTGTGGAAATGACTAAACCTTACCAAAAAAATTATTGGGAAAAAAAAGCATTAATAAAAAGAACACATTCTGCAAAATCCTTGATTCTAGTTAGGGAAACGATTCAATCTTCTGTGGAGAAAATATCTGCTCCAGGCGGGAACGTCACAAGCCATATCATAGATCAAAAGAGAAAGCACAATGATTTGATCACAGAAGCCTGTGCAAGGACAGGAGGGGACTCTTTTAAATGTACAAGATTTCTGAATTCTAACAAGTCCCATCCAAATTACTTCACACATTTATTAACACTTCTTATAGATAGTAAGTCTTGTCAGCTCTACTCTAAAAATATGTTCCTGATCCAAGTACCTGTCATCACTGGCACCCTGTGCCACAGCAAGCCCTCAAGGAGTCAACTGGGCAAATTAAGGAAAGGCATCCCTACTATAAGGAGACACAGCCCCACGAAAGGTGCACAGCCTCGTCATAACACGTCTGCTTATCTATCTCATCCTCAGAGGATGTTTCTAGAACCATCTTGTTTATCATGAATAGCCTGTTGGGGGGAGGAGACAGGGAGTGGCATGCAGGATCCCCCTGTGACAAGGCGGCAAGGAGCCAGAGAAAGGCCAGCATCCTAACATTGTCCTTCTGCAATCTTGGCAAATTTCTAGTCTCTTCACCTCCCCCTTGTGCCTCAATTTTCTCATTTGAAAAGTGAGATGGTTGAACTAGTCACTGTTTCTCAAGGACAAACCCAGGGTTTGTTCAAACTCAGGGTTGTTGACCTTGAATCTCCAGGGAGACACCCAGGAGACACTTGAAGGAGCTCCAGAGATACCAATGATCCCTACCTTGATCTCTAAGTTTCCTTCTCCCATGTTCTAGGAATTTTAAATCTTAAACATATACAAATATTAAGAGAAAGAAAGAAATGTGGCATAATGGAATCTGTCTAATCTCTTTCGAAATCAAAAGAAAATGCAGAACAATGTGTTACCACATTCACAAATCAGCCATGATGTGGCAGTCGCTAAGGAACAACATATGCCCACAGCTATGAAAATGATTAACTAAATCATCCGATTTTTCACTTCCTTCCAAAGCATGGGGAAATCTTAGCTTTAGCTGTCTTAACCTTCTCGAAGTGAAATACATTTACAAAAGCAACTGCAAATTACTGATGACTAATGCCCTTCAACTTGGCCTCAAGCTGAGAAATTCTGTGCAGAAATAAAGTGGTTTATAACCCCATGGGTCGGTTCTATTATAAACTGTGGGTGGTGAATCAAGTGGCTATGAACTATGCTGTGTGTGTGTGTGTGTGTGTGTGTGTGTGTGTGTGTGTGTTTGAGAGAGAGAGAGAGAGAGAGAGAGAGAGAGAGAGAGAGAGAGAGAGAGAGAGAGAGAAACAATGCTTAAGGAGGATATTTCTCCTGTTCCTTAGCAGGAGTTTAACAGCCCAGACCCAAAGCAAACACGAGCTATGAGGACCCAGGGATCTGGGTGATGCCTGTCACCACCTCCCCCTTGAATGCCCACCAGCCAGGGCAGCTGCATCTGCCCTTTGCAGAAAAGCAATCTAAAGCAAGCATAGAAGAAAGCTGGAAGGAAAATAACTGCAACTCACATCGATGACCTATTTTCTGAATCCGGCTTAAGTGAGATTGAATTTTCATTCCTTCAAAAAAAAAAAAATAGCAGAACACTGCAGGACCAGAAAAATGGTGACTTTAAGGAGCGCAGTGACCAGAACGTATGACACATTGTCACGAAAGGACTTTCTTCTCCACCCAGGTTCCAGGGGGTGCTAGTCTCAGATGACCAATGTGGGAGGGACTGATAAATCCACCAAATCCTTGGCAGCTTTGCTTCACTTTTAGCCAAGATTAACATGATGCTAATTGGTAGTGAGGGAACCTGATCTAGTTAGTGAGTCCTATCAGCACAGGCATCACAGTCCAAGCCATCCTCATAGGTCCCATGTGCATGTCATTTCACAGTTCCAATTTTGCATTCTTCCAACTAGAGGTTGCAATGGCCCTTTGTTTCTGATGCAGCGCTATCAAAATGAATCTTTTTTTTTTTTTTTCCTGAGCGGAGTGCTCCTTGATGGCATGTACTGTGCTTGGGTTCACTTCTGAACTATAGGTGCACCAGGGGAACACCCGGGCTTCTAATCTGAATCCCTGACAAAAGAAAAGCTGACTGTCCCATAGCTTCAGCAGACTCCCTAGGCTGTGTGCAGAGCACTGGAGTGTGTGGAGCAGGAAAAGCAAGGTACAGGAGGCAGGGTCTGCTTGTCTGCAGGGAGCTTCCCTTCTGGCCGGTGACATGACTTGTGGGCTCATGTGAGATAGCCAAAGACTATAACATAGCAACCAGGGCAGAACAATGCTGATTCACTAGACCTGTGAATTCTGAGAAAGAATCGGTTCAACCCATGATCAAGACCTTAGTTGAAGAACTTTCTGGAACAGGTGAATCTAAATATAGTGTTGGGGAAAAAAAAGTCAAAAATTGAAATCAAGAGCCAAGAAAGAGCATGCAGAAGATGCAGAAAATAAGAACAAAGATATTACCACTGCTGGTCAATAATGGCCTTTTGTGTTTCCATTTACTGTCTTTAAGAATC